TAACAACTTCAGCAGAACTGTAATTCTACCAAGAAAAAGTATCTGTCAATGTACTTTACTGTCACCAAAGGATCTGAAGCTGGCTTTGTCATACGTGTTTCCCTCTATATATGGAGATAAAAAAATGAATAAAAGCAAGAGGAGTTTAAAAGAATTGATGAACCCCTGACCCTTTAGACTCCATTTATAGCCAGAGAAGGAATGCCAACCCCCTTGACTAGCGAACTGTCCAATCCAGCCGCATGTGTCAAGATTCTATTAGGCACTAAGTGAAATATATATGCATGCCCTTATACCACTGAATACTCTGGGTCCACCTTCAAGACACGGGGCTGGGATCAACCAAACCACCACTCCTCTTCCAAGAATCATTTGGACAGGTTCTTTTAGAGTGCTCCTTCTCTCTCTCTCTCTCTCTTTTTTTTTAACCCATCCTTTTAAACAAAATGGCTCCAAAGAAGGATGTGAAGAAGCCTGCGGCTGCTGCCCCAGCCCCTGCCCCGGCACCTGCACCTGCCCCTGCCCCACCCAAAGAAGAAAAAATTGACCTTTCTGCTGTTAAGGTAACTAAACGGGTGAATTGTTTGGTCACTGAAACATCTTTCAACAGTAGGGAACTCTAGGAACTTGCAAAGAGGTATATTTTTCATTGAGAGGCATGGCATTACTAAGTGAACAGGTAAGAGATGGGGAGAAGAGAATCCTGTTGCAAAGATAAATAATCTGAAACATATCATTTCAGTAAAAGTACCATGAGTATGGTAATGTTTGTGGAACCTGTATTTGCTCTACTGCTTTGTTCTCTAGTTTCCTTTTTTCCCTAAATCGTTAAAGTGCGATTCAAGGGCAAAGTATAAAAGAGTAAAGGTGTTTTACAGATATTTAAACCAGTAGTTTTTTTTAAAATAAAAACTCTGTGGCAACTGGATCCCTTATTTTAAAGCTATATAAAAAGGAAAGTTTTAATCCATTCACTTGTTTCCAAAAGTTTAAAAACAGCTGATGACCCAGTTGTCCTGGATGTACTTACTTAACAGCTGCTTTATTTCATCTGAAAAAGAGAAGATTTTTGCAATTCAAGTTAATTCCCCCTTCAGCTTTGCTTAATAAAATTTGATACAACACTAAATGAGATCTCAGTGCAGACAATTATGCACTCAAGTGTTTCAGTGACTATAACTGTCATCTTGTTTATTTATACACAGTATTAAATTCAGAATGTGTGAACTGCTTCTAAATGAAACTAACCCCCCCAAAAAATACTTTAAAACTTGTTGGTTATATGGCTTTTAGCTTACGTCTTTAAGCTCCTGCATACTGATCTTGAACTAAGGAGAATGTGATTCATTTTTGTATCAACACTTTGCTGTAATCAAAGCTCTCAAATATCAAAAGATTATCTGCGTTTGGAAAAATGATGCAATGCATGTGCCTGTAACCTCTTGGTGATGTGACCCCATCAAGTGTGCACCTTCTCCTCATTCACCAGGCTCATATTGATTCAAATGACAGTTTGAAAAGTTCGTCTAAGGAAGCCTGCCTTATATGGAAAACTAATGGATGAAAGTGCCTATGAGTGATCTTTCCACTTAAGTCAAAAGTTCTCTACGTAATAAATCCGAATTTTGCTAACAACACAGTTTACTTGCAACGGTGATGCTGACCTATAGATAAAGAGTTCGCTGACTATTTTAGTGTAATTGTAGATTTTTAAAATATTCTTGATACAAATATGTAATTAGACCATCCTTAGAGATATGTGATGAAATTAAATAAGTATATTCATAATTTTATAACGTTCCGGTTAAACATGAAATTTTATGTTTCAAAGTAGTACTAGATTATCACAAATATTTTATCTTGAGTTGTTGGTAATTAACATCATGTTTAAAAAGAACCTAGGAATTATTCTTTTTTTTTATTGGTTAGGAATTATTCTTCTTAATGAATACCCACTTAGGAGGAGAAATGCATATCAGATATTTTAATAAACATTTTTCTATCTTGAGTACTACATGCATACAGTTCATTAAGAGGAAGCCAAATTTTTCATCCCCGGCAACCCTAGTTAGTGTATCTTTCTAGATGCACACTAACTGCATTATACAATGAGCGTGATCACCGCCACGCCAGTAAGTCTGATTGTCTATTCTTTGACTCTCCACTCTATACTAACTTTACAAGAATCAGGATCAAAACTACTCCTCTTTATATTTATTGATATTTATAAAACAATATCATCTCTTTGTATCTGGGACTACAAGCATCTGGGAAGGAAAAAAATGTGCCTTCCTAAGAAGAAAAACAATTACCTCGCTAATGAAAACAGGCATTAATGTTTTTCCCTGAGGAACTGTGTAAGAATAAGTAAATAAATAGAAATTTAGTTTGGCAGGTATGAGGCCTCCAAGAAAAGACGAGACATCACTTTTTTAGTCCAAAAATTAAACCGATTGCTTGCTCATAATGAGCAGAAAAGTGACACTTTTCAGAATCTTGAAAATCGGTTTATCCTTCACCTATATGCTAAATTAATACCAGTATGAGCTAGTACAACTAAGCAAAAGAAGAAAATACACCTAGAGAGTCTATGTAAAGATGAGGTGTGCCCCATCTTCCCTATTTCATTGCAAAACAAGAGAAGCGATAGATTCCGGTAAGAGACACAAACCAAAAAGAAGTTAAATGAATCTAGAGGAAATAGGAAGAAATTAACCTTTATCTTCCATTCAGAGAGCCCATTCCTGAAAGAAAGAAAAAAAAAAAAAGAACGGATTGAAACTAACATATTTTTGTAAAGGAACTTAAATGTCTTCAACGATTTTCATTCATCAATATGAAATCAGTGCATATTTGTAGATATTATAGCATAGCCAAAGAATGTGAGCAACTTGAGATCTTTATCAAATTTAATTTTATCCCAGTAGGTAACAAGGCTAATTAAAATGTACATTAAAACATTTCATATTATGATACTTTTAATCACTTAATGATGTTCCTAGCTATATTACTTCGTATAAGTTATACACTTCTTCAAGCAGAGAAAATGAACTTTAAAGAAATTAATAGAGCTGTTATATGTGTTCATTAGCTTTCTGAAAACTCGATAAAGAACAAAAGCTAATTGGATTTTAAACTTTCTTTCATAAATCATATGATTTAGAAATCTATCTGCCCTTCGGACTTTGAGTAATGCTAAAGTTTAAGGGTAACTATCTTTGTCTAGTATTATAATCACAGTAATATTTAATTCCTCAGTATTATACCAACCTAATATCTGTTTCATCGTATAATATACCATGTTTAACAGCCATATGTTTGATTCACCATAAACTCTGAACAATCTTAGATATTATTAATTAGCTTTATCAATTTCTAAAAAGTGCTTTTCAATTTGATTTCCTGGTTTATTGGTTATTTGTTTCAAATAGTTCTTCAATTGTCCTGACCTAAAACCTTTGATATCTGAGGGAATGTTTACCTGATGTCCTATAGCCATGGATTTTCAAAAACACATTTAGTGCTCATATTTGAACATTAACGTGACTGTCCTGGGTGGTTCTAAGCACTCTTTGCTTTCAGAGAGCTGATACTTCCAGCAACAATTCCCAGACTAAAGAACCCTGCCTGAGACTCTCAAGTGTAGTAATTAAAACCTACCATAAGAACAGATGTAGGTGCAAACACAAGAATTAACACCCGTTGCCCAGAACTGCAATTAAATGAAATAACAAAAGTAAATAAGTAATGAGATGACCATGTGCCTAGATTTTAAAAGACCTCCAATGTGTGAGTGAGTTTTTTGCATGATGCATGCCGTAGCTGATATATTAGGATTGCTGTGAGGTAATGAATGCGGTTTTGAATCATGTCTCTCATTGTATTCCTTAAATTTTAATTCTCATCGTAGTCATCACTCAATCAGGTCATCCCTGACTAGATGCTGCAGGTGATATTATAAAAAGTGGTAAAAGTACAAAATGTATTGACAGAAACTCATCAAACAACAAATTTCACAGCAACAATTGACCACATGCTTGGAAAAATTTACACTTCCAATTTAATGGGTAAGGTGGAAATATTGCATTCCCAAAAAATACATCTATGTACTGATTGGTATTCAGTGGAGGCAAATATTACATATACCTTGCGACACATGACTTGTTCTGGCCCGGGTATAGGATTGTTTGCACTAATCTATAGATCGTTTTTCCTTATCTCTAATAAGGCTAATACAATCTCAGCCCCACTTAGAAGAATTGTTGGGGAAATCAAATGATATCATGACTCACGGAAAGCTTTTTGAAAATTATAAAGTTCTTTATAACAATCGATATTCATTATGAATTTACTCTGTGCCCTATTATCTTATCTTTAATCCTTAAAACATTACACTGAAGTTGTTTTAGCCTCATTTTTCAAGAAAAGAAACCGAGCCTAAATAAGGTTCATGGTTAAATATCTAGTAAGTGAAGAGGCTAGGATTAACCTAGTGGGTGAAATCCACAGTCTACTTTGTTAACCGAATTCTAAACTACCTCCTATTTTTAAAGAGTGAGTTGCTGTTTCTAAGAATGTGTCAAGGAGCCTGTTTTGCTCTCGGGCATGTGAGGTAGAGTGGCTTTTATATTACCCTGCACAGCCCTGTGTAGCCAGAAGAGGGAGTACAAGCACACATCAGAGAAAGTTCATCAAGCCTTTTGACCTTGGCATTTCACTGCTGTTCTGTTCTCCACCGCTTTCCCCTGTCTTAGCACCTGTTGCTGACACGTTCTCTTTTACAAATGGAAGGTGAAATATTAGGCACTTAGAAAGGTTTCTAGTCACTTCGCTCCAGCTTTGTATACAAAGTTGTAAACAGAACATGGATATAAAAAAATGCTGTTATTCGAATAGGTTGATAGTGGCCAGGGGTGGGGTTGGAGGTGGGGGAGAAAGAATGATGTCAGGATACAAACTGGCCACTTATAAAAACAATCATTTCTGGGGATTGAGTATACAGTATGGTGACTATAGTGAATAGTGCCATATTGTATACCTGAAAGTTGCTCAGAGTGTAAATCTTTAAAGTTCTCACTACAAAAATATTGGGTTGTCAGAAAAGTCATGATTCATTTTTGCAACAAAAAACATAGAAAAAATACGTCATTACTTTCCTGACAACCATATATATATAGATAGATAGATATAGATATAGATATAGTGTTAGATGTGTTAATTAATTTTATTGTGGTAATTATTTCACGATATCAAAATCATCATGTATCACATCATCATATTGTACACCTTGAGCTTAAACAATGTTGTGTGTCAATTATATCCCAATAAAGCTGGAAAAAATATAACTATACCGAAGTATTTTAAAATGCTATTAAATGTAGTAAAACTGATTGGATTTTTAAAATAATTATGTTTTTAATGAATCATACACATATATCAAACATGACCTCCAAATTTTGCCACCAGGCTAATATTCTAAGAATTGCAAGGGATATCTATTTACAAATAAATATCATGATTTAAACTAGAAATCCCAACCAAATATTCTTTGGAGTGGTATGTA